GAGGCCTGAGAACGGGGCGCAGGCCAGAGGCAGGCCTGGGGTAGGAGCGGCTTCCCAGGGTTAGAAGTCAGCTCTTGTCCCTGTGGACGGTCTGCTTCCTCCCTGAGCCTCACTTTCTTATCTGGAAACCCGAGACCAGAGGACCCAATAAGTCAAAACTGAGCATTCCACAGGGAAATGGCTTGTGATGTTGGCTGTCAGCTTCGTAGGTTAAGAAACTGAGGCTTAGGACATCCCCTGCTGGTCCAGTGGTTAAGACTTTACCTTCCATTGCAGGGGGTGAAGGTTTGATCCCTGGGTGGGGAACTAAGATTCATATGCCTTTTTGAGGCCAAAACAAAAAGCAGAAGCAATATTTTAACAGATTCAACAAAGACTTTAAAAATGGTCCATATTAAAAAAAAAAAAAAACAGCCTTTTTAAAAAAAGAAAGAAACTGACGCTCAAGAAGGCTTGGAACACATGCAAATCAGACAGTAGGGGTGGCCATGGAAACTGCATCTCAACTCTAATGTCAGACCTGTGCCTGCCCCTGCGCAGAAAGCAGGCCACAGACATGGGCTGTGGGACCCCAGGGAGGCCGAAGAGTGGCCAAGACATGAAGCCCGGAGCCAGAATCAATCTGGTCTGAGAGGGGCTCATCTGGACAGTGGAGTCCCTGGGTGGTCTGGGGGCCTGTTCTCGGGGCATTCCTCAGCACAGTCACCGCCAGCCCTGCACAGTCACAGCTCAGGCCATTTCTGTGCCACAGCTGATCCCCAGGCAATGAGTTTGAGAAGGCAAGGATCGCGTCCCATGCCCACCTTGGTTCCTCCAGGGCCACGCGTGGCATGGGGTGGATAGTTGCCAAATGGGCTCACTCACTGAACAGGCACTGTGCTCGGAGGTGGGAATTCATAGATACATACAGCGATATGACCCTGCTCTTGGGTAACTCCTTCCAGCCTTCTGAGCGGATGAAGGAAAGAATGAATGGAACCTGGGAAGGGCTAGGCCATCCTGCTCGCTGCTTTCTGATCAGAGTCAAGCCCATTCTCACGCTTCTGATCAGAGTCATCCCACTCTCTCTGTAGCACAGACCTGAGCCATGCCCACATGTTGCCTGTTGGTTAAGTGGCTGCTATCGGGGTCTCAGAGCTCTGAATCAGTGCCGCCTTTATAAAAAAGGGGATGCTCACCCTCCTACACACACCGCAGGCAAGAGGGTCTAGAGCTGTTCACATCCTCTCACCTAGACTCTCCTGGGATCAGGGACTGCCAAGGTCCCAGGAAAGAAACTGAGGCTTAGGACATCCCCTGCTGGTCCAGTGGTTAAGACTTTACCTTCCATTGCAGGGGGTGAAGGTTTGATCCCTGGGTGGGGAACTAAGATTCATATGCCTTTTTGAGGCCAAAACAAAAAGCAGAAGCAATATTTTAACAGATTCAACAAAGACTTTAAAAATGGTCCATATTAAAAAAAAAAAAAAACAGCCTTTTTAAAAAAAGAAAGAAACTGACGCTCAAGAAGGCTTGGAACACATGCAAATCAGACAGTAGGGGTGGCCATGGAAACTGCATCTCAACTCTAATGTCAGACCTGTGCCTGCCCCTGCGCAGAAAGCAGGCCACAGACATGGGCTGTGGGACCCCAGGGAGGCCGAAGAGTGGCCAAGACATGAAGCCCGGAGCCAGAATCAATCTGGTCTGAGAGGGGCTCATCTGGACAGTGGAGTCCCTGGGTGGTCTGGGGGCCTGTTCTCGGGGCATTCCTCAGCACAGTCACCGCCAGCCCTGCACAGTCACAGCTCAGGCCATTTCTGTGCCACAGCTGACCCCCAGGCAATGAGTTTGAGAAGGCAAGGATCGCGTCCCGTGCCCACCTTGGTTCCTCCAGGGCCACACGTGGCATGGGGTGGATAGTTGCCAAATGGGCTCACTCACTGAACAGGCACTGTGCTCCGAGGTGGGAATTCATAGATACATACAGCGATATGACCCTGCTCTTGGGTAACTCCTTCCAGCCTTCTGAGCGGATGAAGGAAAGAATGAATGGAACCTGGGAAGGGCTAGGCCATCCTGCTCGCTGCTTTCTGATCAGAGTCAAGCCCATTCTCACGCTTCTGATCAGAGTCATCCCACTCTCTCTGTAGCACAGACCTGAGCCATGCCCACATGTTGCCTGTTGGTTAAGTGGCTGCTATCGGGGTCTCAGAGCTCTGAATCAGTGCCGCCTTTATAAAAAAGGGGATGCTCACCCTCCTACACACACCGCAGGCAAGAGGGTCTAGAGCTGTTCACATCCTCTCACCTAGACTCTCCTGGGATCAGGGACTGCCAAGGTCCCAGGCGGCAAGAGGCTAGGAGAGCTGGGATGATGTTCTCTGGTGTGGAGCTCTTGGTCCCCAAGGCAGTACACTGGGGCATCACTGGGCACCCACAGGAGGAAGTGAGGGTTCGGCTACCTTTTCAGGTGGTGCCAGAGGAAGGGTCCATGAAAACGCTGACTAAAGGGGGCAGCTTTGTGAAATACTCAGGAGCCAAGAACACACATATTTTCTTATGGTGGTGTTGGTCAGTCACTCAGTCACATCCAACTCTTTGTGACCCCATGGACTGCAGCATACCAGACTTCCCTGTCCTTCACTATCTCCCGGGGTGTGCTCAAACTCATGTCCATTGAGTCAATGATGCTATCCAACCATCTCATGCTGTGTCACCCTCTTGTCCTCCTGCCCTCAACCTTTTCCAGCATCAGGGTCTTTTCCAATGAGTTGGCTCTTCTCATCAGGTGGCCAAAGCATTGGAGCTTCATTCAGCTTTCGCATCAGTCCTTCCAATGAATATTCAGGGTTGATTTCCTCTAGAATGAGTGGTTTGATCTCCTTGTAGTCCAAAGGACTCTCAAGAGTCTTCTCCAGCACCACAGTTTGAAAGCATCAATTCTTCAGCGCTCAGCCTTCTTTATGGTCCAACTCTCATATCTGTAGATGACTGCTGGAGTCTGTACACGACCACTTGTCTCATGTAGACAAGACTCATTTTGTACAGGATGAACATCAGGGAGTACTGATGTGCTTCCCCTTCAGTGGAAACACCACAGCCCGAAGCTGTGTATGTGTGAGAGAGAGAGAGAGAGAGAGAGAGAGGGAGAGAAAGGACGGGAAACTTAAAGTGCATCAGGCCAGGGGCCTTTCTGGGGCTCACAGGAAGGATGAACAGAGGGGAAAGATGGGTCGGAGCAGGGACTGACTGACTGCAGGGAAGCGGGTCTGCCCAGGGCCAAGTGTGAATGTGGAAACTGACCTGCTCGCCAGGCCCTTCCCCACCAGCTCTGCCCACAAGGAATCCACAGGGCAGGCTCTCAACCTCCCCCGTGTTGCCTGCAAGAGGAGTCAAAGATCAGGAGCGATACTTGTGCTGGAAGCCAGTCCAAGGGAAAGAGAGAGATTCCCCTCCCAAGGAGCCACAGAGGCCAGGATGCGTGGTCACCACCCCACACCAGCTCACAGCCAGGGGGACAGTGAGAGAAGATACAGACATGTTTGCAGACTTTCGTTCAGCCCTGGATCCACGCTGGGTGTCCAGATGCCAGAGTGAATGGGAACCAGTGCAAGCACAAAAAGACCGAGTCTGGTGCAGTGTTAGGCATGGGAAGGGCTGGGTTTTACAATCTCACATGCAGTTTTTACTGGGAGAAAATGGAAAAAAAAAAAAAAAAGAAAAAACCGGGCTTTGAAGAGTGACCAATGTTGATGGACTCTCTCTGATTCAACAGCTTCTTGTTCTTCCTCACCATCATCACCTCTTTCCCATCATCATCATCTCTTCTCCATCACCATCATCTCTTTCCCACCATCATCTCTTCTCCATCCTCCTCATCACCTCTTCCCCACCATCATCACCTCTTCTCCATCATCACCATCTCTTCTCTACCATCATTTCTTCTCCACCATCATCATCATCTCTCCCCCATTCTCCTCATCACCTTTCCCCCACCATCATCACTTCTTCGCCACCACCATCTCTTCTCCATTCTCATTATCTCTTCTCCACCACCATCATCATCTCTTCTCCACCATCATCTCTTCTCCATCCTTCTCAACTCTTCCCCACAATCTCTTTTCCATCCTCCTCATCATCTCTTCTCCACTCTGCAGGAGCCTTCCTGCCATCAGGTTGGTGCACAGACTAATGTGATCACCCTGGGGCATTCGGTTCAGTTTGTAATTCTATGTGTGTGGTGGTTGTTTGATCAGTGACTGTTTAATTGATGGTTGTACCCCTATTGGACCGTAAACTCTCTGAGGACAGAGACTGTGGTTAGTTTTACTCCCTGTTGTAGTCCCAGTACTGGACAAAGTGCCTGGTGCATGATTAATAAATGTTTACTGAATAAGTAAAAAAATAAAGTAACGGAGCCAGTTCATTTCACAGATGCCTCAGAGCTGGAAAGTGTTGGGACCAGAGGAAGAGCGTGGAGCTTGGAAGGGTGGACACTAGATAGAGGTCACATGACTTGGCTATTGTGAGGAGCTGGGACTTGGTCTGAGTGTTATCTCCTCTCCCCTTTATGTCATTTTGACTCAGCCATTTGGTGGCAGCAATGGCAGTGTTGGCCATGGTGGTGATGGTGGTGGTGATACTCGTGTGTGTCTTAGGTGGAGACACAGAGCAGAGACTGCTTCTAGAGCACAGTTAAGGGAATGGTATCCAGAAAAGTCTCCTGACAGGTGTACACATCTCTACTGTAGCATCTTTCTCCTTTAGAAATAACCATGGTTGGTCCCCAGACCTCACTGCCAATCCAAAGAAACAGTAGGATAAATTTTAAAATATATATTCCAGGCATGGAGATGCATTTTTCAGGCCAATTAAAAATACAGGCTAAGCCTACTGCATACTAGAACAGACACTGAAATCAACAAAATATCAGGAGAGATATCTGAATTTTTTTATAAATGAACACAGTGGATTCTGCTCTTTAGTAGATAGCTTGTGGTCTCGAAGTTCACACTTACCAGTAACTTCTGGACGGGAACTCTCCTGGTTACCCTTGTGCTGCTGGGCTCATCATAACAGGTGCTCCACTCCTATCTGTAGAATGAATAAGTGAATGGAAATTTCATTAGACTAGAGAGAGTCCTAGATAGAAGAAGGAAGACCACAGCACCCGAAGTGTTATAATTGTCGGTTCTAGGATTTATTTGCTATCTCTTGGAAGGCCTATGCTTTCATAATACCATTGCCTAACAGAAGCAGAAGACCAGAGATAGGTTTGGTCACCTTTTGACTATTTGAATATAAATTACCAAAGCTATCTGGGCTTCCAGGGCCTCATCGGTCAAATGGGTACAAGAATTCTTTACTCTCCTAAGATAATTTTAAATTGAAACTGAAGGAGTTAGTCGCTCAGTCGTATCCGACTCTTTGTGACCCCAGGGGCTATATAGCCTGCCAGGTTCCTCTGTCCGTGATATTCTCCAGGCAACAATACTGGAGTGGGTTGCCATTCCCTTCTCTGGGGAACTTTCCAACACAGGGATTGAACCTAAGTCTGCTGCATTGCAGGCAGACTCCTTGATTCTGAATTCAGCCTAACATTTAGTGGCAGGCACTCTGGTAGACAGTAGGGATGTGGTACAAAAAAAGAACTGATCCCTGTTCCTTTTAGTGGAGGAGATATTCAGCAGATAAATACAAATAAAAATAAAATTACAGTTTGCAGTGCGTGTTATGATGGAAAACCATTGTGGGGGGCGGGGGGCATAAGAGAACAGCAGTGGTACCAATTCAGATCAGGGTGTCATGGATGAGTTAGGACATAGCCAAGGGAGAGGTGGGGTTTCCCGGATGGCTCACTGATAAAGAATCCGCCTGCCAATGCCAGAAACACTGGTTGGATCCCTGAGTTGGGAAGATCCCCTGGAGAAGGAAATAGCAATCCACTCCAGTGTTCTTGCCTGGGAAATCCCATGGACAGAGAAACCTGGCAAGCTATAGTCCAAGGGTAGCAAAAGAGTCCTCCTACAGGACTGAGCGACAAAACCTCGCCTAAGGGAGAGGTTGGGGTGGTTGCTAAGGAAATAGCAGTGCAAAGGCCCTGGAGGTATAGGAAAGAGGTGGGCGGCGGGGGCGGGGGCAATAAGGCGGGGTATGCAAAAGGTTTTAAGTGTGTGCTTGTGTGTGTGTTGGGGCGGGGGGTGGGGGCATGACTATTCCATTCACTGTTAAGAAAACCCTTGCACTGGCTGGTGGAAAGCAGTTTGGGCTGAAAACGAGAATCAAACCTCAATGCTCCTTTCGGTGTTGAGATAAGAACCAGAATCTTAAGAGGCGACTGGGGGAGTCCAAACCTCTCGTTTTTAAAAACGGGGGAAAAACGAGAATCACATTTGTGGAGGCTCCGTCAGGCTCACACGTGTATTCAGCAGTGAACTGGGAGAGACCTCGGATGTCTGACATCTCTTTCCAGATATCTGATGGGTCTGTGCCTCTTTCTGCCTTCTGAGATGGGGGAGCGATGATTGACGGGTGCTCAGGGGCTGCCTGGAATCGGACAGTCTGGGCTCCCAAGGATGGTTCCCAGGGATGCGCCAGCGCCGGCCCTGGCAGCTCGCCACAGCTCACGTGCTGCAGCGGGAACTTGAGGTTCAAGGTCCTCCCTCGTAGGCGGCTTAGCCCCCTCTCTTCAGTTCCCTCCCGGGCCCTACCTGCCTAAACACACAGCTGGAGCCTCCCATTCCGCCCCCGCCCGCAGGACAGGAAGCGAGCGGGGACCGCCACCCGCCGCGCTTCCCTAGGACCCGCGGCCCGGATAGCAACCGGCTGAGAGGCGCTGCGATTGGCTGGCCTGGCTAAGAGGCGCTGCGGTTGGCTGCACTAGGGTTAAGCGGCGCCGCGATTGGCTGGCTCGGCTAAGAGGCGTCGTGATTGGCTGGCCTCACTTAGCAGCGCGGCGCTCGTCCAATCGCGGGGCGGGCCGGGCCGCCGCCGCGCCTGGCGGCGGGGCCGCGGGGAGCGGGGTGGGACATGCCTGTGGTATTTGCTCAGAGGGGCATGACCACTTTGGGCAAGTCTTTAAATGTGAGTCAGCTTTCGGCCGATCCCTGGGAAAAATTCCTTTGGTGTTGTCAGGCAGGGTTCTCTCACTGCAGCCTTTTTTTTTTTTTTTTAACAATTCAAAAGGGATAATCCCGCTGAAAGGAAAAAGGCTTTCGGCCGGTCCCCGGCTTCCCGGACAGTGATGGGGACCAGGGACCCCAACACAGGCGGGCGCCCCTAATATGCCGGGGAACAACCCAGGACCTGGCTGTGCGGAGGATCGGGGCACCTTCCCCCATCCTTGCGACCCCAGCCCAGTCTCCACGGGGCACACACTGGTGGGGCGAGGCGAACAGCGCCCCCTGGAGTTGTGCTGGAGCCTCCCGCCGCGTGGGAAAGACCTGGCCGCTCCTTCCGTGTCCTCCCATCTCACTGTGGGTCCAGGACTGGACCCGCGCTTAGTAGCTCTGGGATCACGGATAATCCTTCCATCTCTCTAAGCTTCAGGTTCCCCATCCTCAGAGCCAAAGACGGCGGTCCAGGCAGTGAACTGGTCCGGGAGGAGGGCCACTTTGGCGGGGGCGGGAGGGGGGGGGGTGGTTCTCCTAACTCTCATTCCTTAATTGCGAGGGCAAGACAGTTCTGCACTCCAGGCCTCCCCTTTCCACAGCTTTGAGATGAGAGAGTTGTTCTAGAAGAGTGTTTGAGGGGCGTCCCGGTTCTATGAGGGTCGTCGCGCCAGGCCATTCCTGTAACCCTCTCCCGCTGGCCAGCCAGCTCCACCACTACCCTGTGGATGCTCCCGCAGTCAGCCCAGCTTCTCCCTACCCGTGTGTCATCTCAGAGACTCGCAGTAGACAGGGCTGGGAGCACAGAGTGGGGAAAAAAGACCAAAAAAGGCCGAGGGCTGAGGGAAATGAGCAGAAACTGGAGGGATTTATGTGCAATTTGATTTTAAATGAACGTCTTGTGCAAAAGAAGAGGCAACTTGGCATGTGTTGCTGGTGAGTTAATAGCTTAGGCACTCTTGGTCATAGGGATAAGATGCTGTGAAGACCAGCCTAGCTCCTGTGGCAACAGATTTTAAGAGAATTGGCCAGAGTGGGGGGCTGTGGAATCTCTGCCTGGGAGTCTTGAAAAGATCTGAAGGGGGCCAGGCTGCTTTATGGAGGGGCTTTGAAATGCCAGGCCTCCTAGAACCCCAAGAGCCCCAAGAGTCTACTGGGTATCTGTGTGTGTGTGTGTGTGTGTGTGTGTGTGTGTGTGTGTGTGTGTAGCAGGTTTGATTAAAGAGCATCCCATTCTGCTGCTAACTCAGAGGTAGGACCTTGGGCACATTGCTGGCCTGCTGCAGTATCCTTTTTATTTGCTGCCGGAGGATGGATAAGGCTAATTGGCCTCTTAAAATCCCCTCCAGCTCTGACACCCCATAATGAAATGGAATAATGTGGGGATAATTGCTCTGAAAGCTATTGAGCACTGGGAGTCTCTTGTTTAAACTCTACGGGTGCCTGTGTGCATGAGTGCTAAGTCACTTCAGTCATGTCCGACTCTGTGCGACCCCATGGACGATAGCCCGCCAGGCACTGTAGCCCACCAGCCTCCTCTGTCCATGGGATTGCCCAGGCAAGAATACTGGAGTAGGTTGCCATTCCCTTCTCCAGGGGATCTTCCTGACCCAAGGATCAAACCCGAGTCTCCTGCATTGCAGGCGGGGTCTTTACCACTGAGCCACCTGGGAAGCCTAAAAATTATTTCTACCCATTCAAAAATAGAAAAGGCCAGTTCGGCTGTGATAAGGAGGGCCAGATGATCACCATATACTAAGGAAAAAAGATTTCCTCAAGACCTTGGGAGCCTAGTGGAGAGTTTGGTTCTGCTTGGGCAGGTCGGGGCAGTCTTCCCAGGAGCTGACAGCTGGGATATTTCTTAAGGATGGAGAGGAATTTGTCCTGCAGCAAGAAGCGTGTCAAGGCTGAGGGTGGGGGACAAGCAAGACAGAGAGATGGGAGAGTGCTCAGTGAGCTTGGGTCACCTTGGAGAGGCAGGTATCAGGTGTGTTAGGAGCATAAGATGCTCAGGTGAAGATGGCAGAACTGAAATGGAAGATAGAGGTCATATAAATGGTCTTATCTGTCCTGTTAAAGACTTTGCACTTTAGTTGGGAGGAAATGGAGAGCAATTGCATGCTGTCCCATCAGTCGGTGAGATCAATGGTGAAGAACATAGTTCAAAGGTCAGGTCACATGGTGAAATTCAGGTCATGAACAGCTTAAAAGTGGAATGAATGAGTATAGAATGAAATAGAAAACATCAAAGTCCGTGCACGTAGTAAGCTCTGGTTCATGAAATATTAAGCGTCTTTGTGTGTATGATGGTGTGTCCGTTCTGGGTCATGATACATGTGGTCCTTGTTACTGTCAGTCATGATCTTAAAAAGTCAGAACTCCATTGAATTTGCAGCCCCACTTCCCCCTAGGCTCTAACAAGGAGAGAGGAGAGTGGGCTGGAAGAGGCGACACAGGAAGTTCTTGCAAAGGACCTGCAACCTGCATTCTCTCCCACTTGTTCTTGAGAAGGAAATTGCTTAACTTTTGAAGACAGTTAGCTGATATCTTCCAAAGCCTCCCCTGCAGGGGACAGAGAGGACAATTGGAATAACTGACGGCCTGCAGCATTGACAGGGCATGTAACTGGGCCAGGAGCTGGAATTCTATTCCTTCCAACCTCTGCCCCAGGCCCCCTATGACTGAACATCCTGTGAGTTGTTCAGTCACTCGGTCGATCGTGTCCAACTCCTTGAGACCCCATGGACTGCAACACACCAGGGTTCCCTGTCCTTCACTGTCTCCTGGAATTTGCTCAAACTCATGTCCATTGCAGAGAAGGCAATGGCACCCCACTGCAGTACTCTTGCCTGGAAAATCCCATGGACGGAGGAGCCTGGTGGGCTGCAGTCCACGGGGTCGCTAAGAATTGGACACGACTGAGCGATTTCACTTTCACTTTTCACTTTCATGCATTGGAGAAGGAAATGGCAACCCAACCCACTCCAGTGTTCTTGACTGGAGAATCCCAGGGATGGGTGAGCCTCATGGGCTGCCGTCTATGGGGTTGCATCGAGTCGGACACGACTGAAGCAACTTAGCAGCAGCAGAAGCATGGCCATTGAGTCAGTGATACTATCCAACCATCTCATTCTCTGCCACTCTCTTCTCCTCCTGCCTTCAATCTTTCCCAGGATTAGGGTCTTTTCCAATGAGTCGGCTCTTCACATCAGGTCACCAAGATGTTGGAGCTTCAGCTTCAACATCAGTCCATCCAATGAATATTCAGGGTTGACCCACATGACTCTGGTACGAATCCTGATGGGATGACTTAAAAACCACGGTATCTTCCCACTCTTCTGATGAAGCATGACGCACTCACTGTAGCCAGCACTAGGGGCCAACAGATGTGCCCAGTTCCCAGATAGTGTGTGATCGGTGTCCAGGTACCAGTTCAATAAAGATGGGAGTTACCTCCCCACCGCATGAGTAAGAACCTTATGTTTAAAGTGTTGAAGGAGATGATTTCACAATGTCTGGTCTGTAATACCAGTGTCTTAACAGACCTGAGTGTAGGGATGTCCTGTGGGGATAATATATGTCAACTGAAAAAAATGCATAACCTAAAAGATTTCCCTGAGTTTTCTAAAATAGAAACTTGGCCATTTTTTTATATTCAGCAAAATTCCAGAAGACGTCATCCTCTTTTACAGAGAGAGATACCACAACTTAGATGTTGATAAACATTTAGCATCTACTGAATGATCAAGTTGAATGTCAAAACCAAGTTTCTCGAGATGGTAACCCATGCTGTGACCCCTGAGACACACAGTGTCTCCTGATGCTTTTCAAAACCATCTTTCTGCGAGAGCTGAGAATACCCCCCACCTCCGCCTCTCACCCCTTCCTACCCTAGAAGAACCGGGAAAACTCACCTACCTGCTTCAGAGAGAAGGTCTACATGGAGTTTGGTTTTGCACTGGGACTCACACAGAATCTCCAAGTCATTTGTTCAGACTCCTGCCTCTTTATGAAGTTCCCTAGCTGTGATAAAAAGGATTGTTCTCAGTGTCACATAAAAGCAACGAGGAAAGGAAAGTGTTCTGAATCACACAGTTCCTGATCTAAATAAACTTGAACTTTGAGGGAGACATCACTGGTGTCAGAAACACTGATCAGTTGTTACAAAAACATCGGAGTGGACCTATAGCAACCATCTTTGATGCGCATAACCCTACTTTTGGCATAGAAGTAATTGTCTGAGGCTTAACCATCAGCTGATGGAGACACCCAGGAATAAGATGAGAGGTGGCCGGATGCACAGCGATCCGATGATGTGGGAAAGTGTAGATGTCACAACCGCCAGGTTGGAAAGCAGACTCTCCTTTCCACCCACCTGACATAACAATGCTTTCCCGCTTGTCCCTTTCCTTGGAACAGAGAATCACAGAATTTCCTGAGTTGGAAAGGTTCTTGTGGGTCACCCAACACTTCCCAGCTGATGTAGGAATCTGCAGTGTCACTTCCCTTCCATTGCTCATCCCACCTCTCCTGGAACACTCCTGGCATGAGCTAATTGCTGTTTTACTCCATTTGGGGGAAGCTTTCATGTTCGGCAGTTGAAGTAATTCTCTAGCAAGCTTGATCTGATGCCCCATTTCTGCCGCTCATGGGTCTACTTTCTATTCC